AAATTATTCTCTTAGTATTTTTGTCTTGTTTTCTAGTATAAATATCAAAAATTATTGAATCAAGATGAATTTATTGTACAAGTAAAGTGACTTAAGATATGTCTTGTTTTGTGTAAAAGAAATATCAAAATTTTGTTAGGTTTTGCTTTAAACAAGCAAAATATCTGCCAATGGGCAGCTTGTTTTAAGGAAAAAAAAACTTTTTTAAACTTAATATATTAAATAATTGTACTTGTACAGTAAATGCATCTTGATTCAAGAATGTTTATATATTTATACTAGAAAACAAGGCAGAAATACAGAGTAAGAAAGTCATGTTTTGCAGCGCACAGGTCACAGATGTTTGTCATTGGGCTCTCAGTAGTCGTTGATTGTGATTGGTCAGCCGCTGCACTGTTACTGATCAGTAGTGATGGTGTTGTGCGCAGGTCCTGATCAAGCCCAAGCCCATGGCGTTTCAGACGGCGCTGGTGAGCGAACAGACCCGTCAGCTGGTGAGCGAGACGCTGCAGCAGGTCTCACGCAGCGCCGGATCCGGCCAGGAGGGGGCGCTCAAGGACGACTCGCCCTCGTATACAGAGAGCAGCTCTGTGACCTCCGACAGCACTCACGGTCAGCACGCTAATGCATTTAAAACTACAGTTTTTGCCCGGAAGACCTATCGTTTCATATCATCGTGTGACCATGATAATATCAATTCAGATTTGCTAACGAGATATCACGCTATTGATAATATCCTTACATCCACTACACCGCAGCTTTTAGGCATTGGTCTGTTTTTTTGTTACAACTCAGAAATGACAAGGAGGCAGCTTCCCGCAATAGACAGCCAATGGAGAGGCTTGGATAGTGGGCGTGGCTTAAATGCGCTCTGTGTCCAATCAGCATCTCACTCGGCTGTGTTTGAGTGTGTTGTCTCTGTGTTCAGACGCTCAGCCGGTGGTGCACCTCATCACCTCCAGGGGGCAGGAGTGGACGGAGCAGGAGGTGTCTGTGGAGGCGAGTCCCACCATCATTTACCAGGACATGACGGGAGAGTCTCAGTCGGCCACATCCACCATCAAAGCCCTGCTGGAGCTGCAGCAGACCAGCGGTGCGTATCTCTGGAGCGCTCCTGCTGCGTTGATTGTGATTTCACTTTTTTAACGTTAGTTAGTGTGTAATGTTGCTGTTTGAGCATAATATCTGCAAAGTTAAGACGCTGAAAGTTCAATGCAAACGGAGATATTGTCTTTTAAAATGATGGAAGTTTAATGCCTACAAAAACGTCTGGTAGGGACTACAACGAGCTACTGACATCACAAACCCAGAAATTTACATAAACCCCGCCCCCGGGAACATGCAACAAAGGGGGCGGGGCCATGCTGCGCTGCTTTAGAGAAGAGGAAGAGTTGTTGCCATGACGTCAAAATTAAACAGAAGCAGTAGCATTTACAAATAACAGTGTATCTAAAGTATGAGACAACAACAAACAAAGAAACACATGCGCGATCCTCTTCACTGATATTCTCTGCGTCTCAATCGGGATCAAACTGATAAGCGATATTGACAACGCCATTGTTTACAATACAACACATTCTGAGCTGAGGGGCGTGACGTTTAGACGCACACTAGAGGCGGTTTAGCCAATCACAACACACTGAGCCAGCTGACCAATCAGAGCCCATTGTGTATTTCTGTGGGAGGGGCTTCATAAGAGAAGGGACAGAATAAAGGCGTAACACACATTAGACTGCACCCCATAAACACAATCAAGCCTAGAAAAAGCACTCTAAACACCCCTTAGTCTAAACACGTGTGTGTGTGTGTGTGTGTGTGTGTGTGTGTGTTGTTTCAGTGAAGGAGAAGAGCGACGCCAAACCTCGCCAGCACACCATCGACCTGAGTCAGATGTCAGTGCCGATCCCGGTGACGGAGAGGAGACAGTCCCCGGAGCCGTCGGGTCAGAGCGCCGGAGACACGGACCCCGTCACAGAATACATCCCCATCGGTAACATCAACACCAGATAAAACAGGAATCGTGATGCGTCCTAATGTGTTGATTCACTGTTGATGCATCATGACAGTATGTGCTTTATGGTGTTTATATTATAATATGTTCTAGATTAATTGAATTGAATATTTTAACTCTCACATGTTTGAATAAGCGGCACAGTCATTTCAAAATCAGGTACATTTCAGGCTTGCATTATACATACTTTTTTTTGGATATCATTGCTATTTTGGTGACAAAATAATCTATATCTGGAATTTTATTTAACTAAGGAAAGACTACAAACATTATTTATGTTCAATATAAGTATTTTACATAGTATCAGAACAAAAAGTGCCTTTCTTTAAACACACAATCATCTTATTATCAAAATCCAGTATCGATCAACCACTAATTCAGATGTATTGACACATTAGCGCATAAATAATTTTCAGTGCATACATGTGTATATATATATATATATATATATATATATTGAAAGAAAAAAAAAGATTATTTTAAACTTGCAGATGCCATGTTGTGCATGTCACAGTAAACAATCTGAGATATTTTGATTTATTTTGAGATGGATGGGTTTGGTCATACAGTAGTAATTTTATTTGTGCAGGTCCTAAAGAGTCTTAAAGGGACAGTTCACCCAAAAATGAAACTTCTGTCATCATTCACTCACCCTCAAGTTGTTCCAAACATGTGTTCAAAGCTGCAGTCCGTAACTTGTTTTGGTTAAAGATTATCCAATATTTGAGCAAGTACATAACCAGCCAGTGTTGAAAACTATCTCCTTACTTTAGCAACGGTCAGCTTATAATAATGTTTCCTGATTCGAGTGGTACTGGTAGGATTTCAGGCGGAAATTCGAGCATGCCGCCACGTCGTTACGTCACGTCTGTAAACATAAAGTTGTAACCAAAACAGCTTTAGCCAAACAGCTGTTGGTTACACAGTATGGAGGGGGGAAAAAAGCACTATGAAAGTCAATGGGTGCCGTCACCTGTTTGGTTGCCAACATTCTTCAAAATATCTTCTGTGTTCAGTAGCAGAAAAAGCCTTAGGTTTGGAACAAGTGAAAGGGAGAGTAAATGATGACAGAATGATAATTTTTGGGGGAACTGTCCCTTTAATTAGATTTTGAAGACTGCAGGTTCACTGTGCTGTTGCTCTGCTGTTTCAGGTAAAGTGTGTACGGCTGTGGTCGGAGGAGATGTCTCTGCATCCAGCAGCCCGAGTCCGTCAGCATCTGCATCCGCATCCGCTGTGTCTGGACACACCACACAACAGGTCAGAACTGCAGTCATGTGACCACATATGTCTGTCACTGATTGATTTATGACGCAGAAGCTGCATCTGACAGGGCAGAAATGCATTTACACTGCAATTACAGCTGCATTGTACGTGATTATGCTTTATACATTTACATTTAGTCATTTAGCAGATGCTTTTATCCAAAGCGACTTACAAATGAGGACAAAGTTAGTTTTTAATACATTTAGATCATTATTATTATATAAAATAATAATTATTATTGTTGTATAGCAATAATGAAATTACACACACACACATATATATATATATATATATATATATATATATAT